GCGACTTTGTTTTTTTTTTTTTCAAGTTTCTTTCTTCTATCAACTAGAGAGAGGCAGGCAGATAGAGAGACACCCTCAAGAGGGTCCTCCTGCTGTGCCTCCCCCCAGCTATAGCCAGCCCTGGATTGGGGGCACATACAAGCCTTGTATGTTTGGGGAGGTCTCTAAGATGTGACCCTGGAGCTCTCCCACGAGAGTGGGCCCTGCAGAGCTTCCGGCCCCCTTATAGCATGTTTTTTTGTTTTTTTTTTTTCATTGTATTTTAAGTAAGATAAGAAGCTCTTCTGGAACCAGTGGGGGGAGAAAGGAGGGCAAGAGGAGTACGGCTGGCCTCAGGGGTCCCAGCACACACAGCTCACTGATATGTGGCTGGATGTGTTGCTGTTTGGAGGCTGCTTTGAGCTCACTCTGCTCAATCTCAAAGGGAGAACAAGGCAGTGATGAGCCAGGAACTCACCGGCCCAGGCATGATGGGAGTATCTCATGCCAGTCCTGATCCAACACCCAGGCCAGAGACGAGCTGGACTGCTTCCCCAAGAGCGTCCCCTCCTGCCAGCCAGGCCGAGCCCCACCCACTGAAGTAGCTTCTTCCAAACCCTGGCTAATTATTCCTCTATCACTTTGCCTCCTCTGCAAGCCTCATTATTCCCATTTGGCTAAGTAGCTGGGTCCGGAGTCCTGACACAGGTAGGAGCCACCCAGAGGGGATGTTCTGTTGCCACTGGGAGTGCCAAGGATGCCACACTACTCTGACTTCCTCTGCCAACCCTAGAGTGCCAGGTGCTCACGGTTCAGCCTGAGGATTGCCATGTGTACCTGATACAGTGCTAGGCTAAAGAGGACAGGCAAAGGAGGAGGAGCCCCCAGGCTCATGAAATCTGCTGTCCACCCTATCCATACATCCAATAAATGAGCACCTTTGGGGCCAGCAGTTGGCATAATGGCTATCTCACTGGACTCCCATGTAGTCGACCACGGTTCGAGTCCCAGACCAGGTGGCTTAAACTCACACCAGGCGCGTGTGTGTGCATGCACAAGATCCAGAGAGGAGAATGGAGAAGGGATTGCGGCATGGCCATCCCCCTGGGGGGTGATTTCTCACTTTCTGTCTCTCTGTCTCTGTCTTTCCGATGAGCGCATGTGCCCTATAGCAAAAACATCTCAAAAAAAAAAAAAAAAAAAAAAGAGCACCTCTGGGTGCAAGACACAGCTCTAAGTGCTTGGGACTCGCCTGTGGACCAGACATAGATAGAGCTCCTTGCACAGAGGTTCTGATCTCGCCCCTCAGGTGAGGATGGTCCTTAGAGGGTGACACATACCAGAGGGCAAGAGCTCCGCTCACTAAGCTATGTGTACATAGACTCCCCTGAGCGATGACCCCAGTACCCTGTTAGGCAGCAGTAACACAGAGATGGCTGTGGGCCAGAGCAGAAAGCAATGCAAAAGGAAAGACCAGCCCATCCATCAGACACTAACTGTACTGGGGGCTTCCAATGAGGATAAAACCTAGGTCTGTCCTTAAGAGACACAGAGGAAAAAAGCCAAAGCCACTTTATGGAACAGAGGAGAGAAGCTGCCCATGGAGGGTTACCACCATTCATGAAAGAAAGGGCCACTGCCCTGCTGGCCCGCCCGAGTGCCAGGAAGCTCCCTGTAGCCCTGGGGTGCTGTAGCTGTGATCTCCTGAGCAGCAAAACCAGAGCGCAGCATCTGAGAAGACAATCCGCACCCGTCTGCATAAAGGTGACCCCACTGCCCATCTGAGGTCACAACGTCACTGGGCCAAGGCCTTGAATACATGACCTGAGCCCTGCAGAATTCCCAAGAAAGCCTTGTGACTCTGCGGTGGTCCTGGGGTTGGGGCCCCTTAAGAGAAGCAGTCCTTTTAATGAGGGACAGAAAAGAGGGAGAGGCTGGCCTTGGTCTACTTCAAGCCCTCCTTCCCTCTTGGCTGCTCCTGTACTGCTTCTGGCCTCCTGGTTGGCCGAGAAGTCTCTCTCCTGTCTAGAGAGGGGTGGGGCAATTGTGGGAGCTGTTGACATAGGAAGTATTCAGGGGCGGTGAGATCAACGTGGTCACAGCTCGAGTGTGTCAGCAACAGCACGTACCCACCCACAAGCCACACACAGCCACCCCTCCTCAGAGTCACTGCCACTGGGCAGGCTCTGGAAGGCCACGAGGCACTGGGCTGGCTCCTGGCAGCAGACTCCACCCCCGGGGGAGGTTGGGGAAGGCGGAAGTCAGCTTCAGAGAAAAGAACCTAGGGCTAGAAGCCCGAATGGCCAAGGTCCTAGGATGCCACTGCCCAGGCTTCCTCAAAGCTGCCGGATGATCGTCTGAACTCCTAATTGATGTGGGATAAAATGCTCCTTGCTCTCTCCTTCCCTCTCAAAAAAAAAGGAAGGAAATTCTCCAGACAGATTGTCTTAGGACACGCCTAGGTGGTGTGGTGGGAAAACCACAGGGCCACAGGTCAAAGGAGGCAGATTCCAGTCCTGAGTCTACCACTAACTCACTGTGTGACTCTGGACAAGGCCCTCCTTGCTGGGCCTCACTGTCCTTACCTATAAAATGGGTACAGGTGGGAAATTAGTAAAGCTGGTCTCAAAGTCCTTCCCAGATCGAAGCTTCCAAATGGCGTGTGCAGTGGGCCCAAAGAAAGAGGGTCCAGCAACAATGTTCTGTTGTCCTGCTAGCCCAAAAGAGTCCCTCCCAAGCCCGGTTCTCACTCAGGGTCAATTTCATTCCAGGAGAGTCTAACTCATTGATGACTATAAAACTTTATCCCTTGGACTCCCTGGAGGGAGTGTGTTCATAGATGGCATTACGATCACTGCCATTGCGATCTTCATGACTGCAATGGGGGGAGGCAACAGCGAGAGAGTCGTAGCCACTCGTGCCAGCTGTGCAAGCCCAACGTGCCACTGTGAGCGCCACCACACAGCAGTGTCCACTGGGCAGACTTCCCATTGGCCCTGCTCCATGGGCCCACCAGTCAGAGCAAACCAGTAGGTGGCGCACACAAGGCCCAGCATGGTCCTTAGCAGAACTGGACTCCTGAGGGAGGGCTCTCTTCCAGCTCCTTAGAGTGGAGATTCTATAATTCCAAGTATCCTGGGGATGGGCCAGATGGTGCAGCGGTAACATAACTGGACCCATATAGGAAAAGTCCTGTGTTCACATCCCGTCCCAGGACCGATCTGAGTACACAGAATATGTGTGACAGTGTCCTCTTATGATCCAGGCTGGCTGAAGCTGGGAGTGGGTCACGGTGTGAAGACCCAGCTGGGGATACCCGTTTCTCTGTCCTTCTCTGTCTGTCTCTCATGGCAAAAATAAATGAACAAGCTTTAAATGTCCTGGAGACTGACTACTGAACCTGTATCCACCCCTACCACTGGGAACCACGGACTCAGGGGTCCCCACACTGCAACTTGAGCAGCTCTCCCAGTAAACGTTTCCCTTGAGAGTGTGTTCCTTTCCTGGGCCTGTGGTGGTGTGACCCTGTAGTAAGACCACTGTGTGGGAAGTCCAAGGAGCTAGGTTCTAGTCCAGACTTCCGCACTCAGGTGCTGGTGACCCGAGGCAGGTGGGTCTGAGCCTCACCTACATAACTTCTAAAGGGGGCCTGAGGAGGAGGGGTCTTGGAAGGCCCATTCCCTTCTTTCTGGAATGATGACCCTTATTTCTCCTTCTGGGATCAGGAGTCTCTGCGCTGCCTGGGCTCACTGTCATCACAGGCGAGGGGACTTCTGAGTACTGGGTGGACGCTGGCTTCCCTCCCAGCCAGGATAATGCCTTTCAAAGCTGAGCCCCTTGAAGAAAAGGAAGCTAATGTTGCACACATTCCCTCCCCTATTAAATAACGCAGTTAACTGGAATCCTACAGCCCAGGCCACTCCATTCCCGGCACCTGCTTCAAGGTGGAAGCCTGGGTTCTGAGCTGGCAGAGACTGGAAGTGGCTTGTGGCATGAAATATCTTCTACCCTGCAGAGGGGTGGGAAGGGATGAGGGCAGTACCAATTACAGCCTGCCCCCATAGCCTGCACCCAGCACTAGGAGACCGCTGAGGGCCAATCGGAAGAAGTCACTATCAAGTTCACTGGCAGCTCGTGGCCTGCCCCTCTGCCAGAGATCAGAGGCCGCTGCTCTTCCAGGCAGGTCCTAACAGCCCTCCCCTTTTGCTGACACCTCACCGCACTTTCCCACACATGACCTCACTGCAGCAGGAACAAGTCCTGGCTGGCAGGGACATTATCCCCATTCTGCAGCCACGGAAACTGAGACACGTGAGATGGCAGAGCCAGGCCCAACTCTCAGGTCTCCAGCTCTGCCTCCACTGAGGAGGAAGATGTGTCCCTCGCCCCCAAGTTCTCCTGTCTCCCCAGTAATCCCAGGACAACACGGAGCTTTCGGCCCCCAATGCCAGTGACATGGCTCCTTTCCACGGTCTGGCTGTACCTGCTCATCTCTCCTCCTGCGGCCCACGGTGGTGCCAATAGTCTTGATCACGCCGGGTCTCGGGAGGGCCAGGTGCCCAGGGACAGAGGCCAGGCCCGGCAGGGGGCTGTAGGGGTGCGAGCGGGGGTACGGGTTGGACATGGAGGTGATCACTGTGGGCTGCACCATCCACTGCAGGTCCTGGCTGGTTGTGATGGCGTTGATGGTAGGGATGAAGGCACTGCCTGAGCCAGGCATATCTACCCGGAATTTCTGAAATGAGGAGAAAAAAATCCAGCTGAGCCCAGGAATACTGAGGGGACAGGCCCAGCAGGCACAGAGAGAGCAGCAGAGAGCAGTGCCCGTGCTTGGGGGCCATGGGTGGGAACTCAAATGGGCTTCCCCAGACAAAGCCTGGGCAAGTCCCACCCATCAAGTCAGAGGGATCCACTCCCTGATTGGGGTCCTGAGAATCCCATCCCCAGGTAGCCAATGAGGAGGCTGTCACATCCCACATGACTTCTAGGTGGGTATGGTCCCTAGCTGTGCACACTCCACAGGCCCTCTCTGCAGCCTCCACGGGGAATATCTGCAGGATTGGCGCATCTGGGCCTTCCAGGCCTCTGAGTCACCTGCCAGTTACCCCCTAGGGTACCACTCAGGTCACCTGGAGGTTGACACCCCAGCAGCATTGGAGTGACAAAGATCACCAAGAAGCATATGGTGCCTGCTACTGTCACTTTCCCAAGAGGCTCAGCATGGGGCTGTGACCCCATCAGGTGAGGTCAGGGCTGTGACAAGGTGACCTCCAACCCGTGAGACTGAAAAGTGGAGGCATCTGCAGCCAGACTTCCTCTCCCTGTCCTTGCCTGTCCTCCTTTCCCTTCATTAGCATCTCACTCGGGGCAGACACGGCACGTCTGCCTCCCCGCTATCTCTACATCCATCTATCTGCGTTCACAGATGTGTCTGTGGGAAACTTCAGGGCTGCTGGTTCAGAGTTTTCTCCCCGTCTCTGAATTGATGCCCAGACCACGTGGTGGAGCTCCCCGGAACACGCTACAGGAAGCATGCTATTTAAAATATCAGATGATGACAGCGTACAGAACCTAAAACGGGCCGTGCGCCTCAGCAGTTGGGCTTGGCCTTTCTCCAAGACAGCGACTGGAAAGTAAGAGAAGGGGGGGGAGGGAAAGGGCCCCCACTTCCAGCTTTTCAGGAGAAAACCCCCTGATGAAACTCAGGTGAACTTTCATCCTCAGACGATCCTTGTGTCCTCAAAAAGGTTCTCCCGTTTCTTCCCTAGCCCGGTGGGTGAAGCGATATCTAATAACACCAGCTCTCACTGGGCACTCACTAGATGACAGAACTCATACCAGCATCTCAGATTATCTCATTAACTCGCCCTCTAAGAAGACCATTATCTCCTTTCAGAGGCAGAATTTAGATTTAGTGAGATTAAGTAACTAATCCAGGCGTGGCTAATAAGCAGTGGGGTCAGGATTCAAATCCAGCTCGGCCTGTCAGAGGCCAGAGCTGTCGAACACAGTGCTCTGCAAGCTTCTTTAGCATCGGTTCTTTCTGCCTCAAAATCCAGCCCCACTGCCCCCCACGGTCCCTATAGACTTTCCTCTCACCAAGGAGCTCCCACAGCTTCCCCTGAAATCTTGCAGTATCATGAGCATGGGTCTACAGTATCCCCCCATCCCGGTCTAATCAGACCAACCAGGACTAGAAGCAATACGAGCGACTGCAGGCGTTGCCACCATCACCGTTTTTGCCCTCTAGAGACATCTGGATCCCTGCTGTGTAAACTGAATGAAATTTGGAGCAACTTACTGTAGCTGATAGAGCTGGGGACCCTTCCTTGCTCTCCCACTGCCACCTGCCTGGCCCATTTGCATGGTAAAATGTGGCTGCCTCACCATCCTGAAGACCGCCCTGGGCCCCAGGCCAACAGCTTTTAGTGAAGAGAGCCTCCCGATGCAATGGATTCTGGGATTCTAGGATTCCCTTAGTATAGTTACTCAGTACAATGGATTCTGAGTTTCCATGAGGGGAGCTTCCCAGAGTGAGAGATTCTGAGTTGCAACTCTGAAGACAAAGATGCAACCGGCTTTTTATCAGGAGCTGACTGGAAAGTAGCAGGTGCGTATGGCCATGGATGTGTGAAGGAGGGAAGGGGACAGTGAATAAGGAAAGATCCCACTGGGAAATGACCTTCAAGGAGGGAAAGCAGACAGCCAAGACTGGGCTGGAGGAGGCAGAGTGTGAGAACAACAGGCTTGGCTGAGTGAGTGGTCCCAGGGAGTGGAGGGGTGGCTGTTGGCATTATATTTGGAGTCAGTAGGCCTGGGTTTGAGGCCTGGCTCAGCCAGAGTACTTTGTCCTGGGCAAATCACTGAGGACTCAATTCTGTGGGTGTAGAGAAGAAAGTACTAAGACCAGGCTCACTGCACTGACATTAGGACTAAATAGCCACTTGTGATCACAGGCTGGACAGCACACTTGTGTCTCAACCCTGACTGCAGACTAGACTAATCTGCAGAGCTTATTAAGACACCTGTGGGGCCAACAGTGGCATGGAGGTTATGGTGCTGGATTCCACATGGCTGGCTATGTGGTTTGAGTCCTGGACCCAGCAACTTGAAAATCATTCCAGGTATATGTGTGTACATGCCCAAAAGCCCAAGACAGAAATGGAAGAGAAAAGATTGTGATGTGGCCATCCTCTTGGATGGTGAGTTCTCACTTCCTCTTTCTCCATTTCTCTCTAGCAAGAGAACATGGCCCATAGCACATACACACCAAAACCCCCCACTATGTTGGAGCTTCCTAAACATTGGTTCTAAAGTATTAGGTCATTGGAAAAGTCATGATGCATTTTTTCTATGTAAAAATGCATCATGACTTTTGTGACAACCCAATAGTTGGTTTGGGGTGGGGCGCTGATAAAGGTATTTTTTAAAACTCTCAAGAAATTTCCAATGTGCAGCCGGGTCAGGTTGAGAGACACTGTTCCAAACACATGTTAGGTGTCGTCCTTATCACCACCACTACCACCATTATCACCCTGCCATCATAGCTGCCTCATTCTATGCATCTGTGACCTCCACACCGCACAGCTCTGAGGAGAACTGCCAGCTTCCCACTCCTGGGAAGCACCCAACTTTTTGACTCCATTTCTGTCCCATAGTTGATTCTGGGTTTGAAGTACACTCACAGTACCCAGTACAATGGTTTCATGGGACCCCCCACCTCCACAGGGAGCTGTCGACTTTCCTCTCAGGAAAGCACCCAAGAAATTCATTTCCCCTTCCAATAAAAATGCTCCTGTTTTTAGCCTTGAGGAAGCAAGCAAAAGCCTAAAGACTAAGATCCTTTAGGAATAAGTAGGTGCCTGTCAGCCCCTATCAAGCCCCCCCGTCCCTGCCCTGTGGATGGCAGGTCTACAAAAAGGGCTCCCCTGTAAACATCGACCAGATTCTCTGAAGCAAAGGCTTGGTCTAGACAAAACAAGACAGCAATAAAAACAGGGCAGGAGGTAATGACTGCCTCTGAATCTCATGCACACCTTGTTTCAGACAGAGGTAACGCCATCTGGATAATTCACTGGCTGCAAACTGCAAGGAAAACAATGTCCCATCCCCAGAGGGGACTGGGGCTCCGATAAAGGAGGCTTTTGTCTCCTAGAGGAGTCTCTCTGGGAGACACACACCAGTTTCAATTAGATCTGGCAAATGGGTCTTGTCTCAACTTTGAAGATATTATTCAGAAGGCCACACTGGGGTAGGAGAGAAGAGGTGAGGTTAGGAGTTTGGGGTCCCAGGAGTTAGTCTGGTATTAGTCTTGCCAACAGACCCAAGAATCAGCCAGTGTGTCAGTGGGGATAAATCATGGTTCTCTACCAATGAGTTAACATAAAGCAGAAACCAAGGTAGAGTTTCTCAGCTGCAGGCATTCAGGCCACTTTAACCCTGCACAGTACCCAGTGTGTGTTGGGAGTGGGGAGAAGAGTGGGAGGACAGAGGTAATGCAGGACCTAACTTGGCATCCCTGGGGTTCCCTAGGTCCCAAGGAAGCTCTTCCTCTGGGGAGAGACTTGAAGATGCTAGATGGTTTGGTGGCATTCCAGCCTGGCAAAGCCTTCAAACACTTTGGTTAACTGTGTCACCCTGTCGACTTCTGGGTGGACACAAATGCCTATGAAGGGCAATGTGGCCCTCATCGACCTGCCAGAGCAGAGTTTGGCAAACTTTTGCAGTAAGGGCCATACAGCAAATACGTTAGGCTTCGTGGGCCATAAGGTCTCAGCTGCAATTCAATGCTGCCATTCCAGCATGAGAGTGGCCATAGGTGATACAGAAACTTATTTCCAAAGGCACTCGGGCCATAGTTTGCTGACCCACGTCCTGGAGGGTCACTATCTTCCCCTATGCTCAGGTTGGTGGAGAAAAGAATAAAGACAAGAAATAAGAAAAAAAAAAATCAGAACTGAGCTATTCTTCTAACCAAGGGAGACAAAGGGATGGACGATCACTCATCAACTTACCTCTCTAGACCCTGAGCTCAAGCTGGAGCCCTTAGGAGGCTGATGTAGCTCTCTGGGCACGGGAACCTCTATTACCCTGCAGCAACTGCACCTAAGGGTGCCATGGGGCTGCTCCCTAAGAAGGTATGTGCTCCACCTATTGCGATAAAAAAGACGGGGAGCACAGGCCTGTAGGGTCACCTCACTTCCGCACATTGGCGGAGTCCTTCAGCTCAGTAATTGCTCATTTGGAGAAAGAGCCCTTTGGGACTTTGCAGCAGGGCCTTTGATGCAGAAATGAAGAAATGAAGGCCCAAGCCGTAGCCTTTGGCTCAAGGGTCTCAGAACCAGGGTTTGGAGCCTCATTCCCCCCCAGGCGTGGATGGGGTAGAGGGCTTCTCTCGAGGCTCCTGAGCTGGCAGAAATTATATTCTTTATTTTCATTATCTTTTAAATTCAGGATAGAGTGCCTGTACAAGAGAAAGGGAAAAAAAAAAAAAAGCACCCTCAAAGGGGACCAATCACACCACAGTCCTTCTTCCTCTGGCTTCCTGTGCAGAGAGATTAACCACTGCACTGAGGCTGGCCCCAGAAATGGTATTTGACATGGAAGTCAACGTTGGCATTTCTAGCCCAACCCCTTGGCCAGCATTTCTCCATCATCAGACTGTCTGCGGTCTGGCCACCAAACATTCCAGCCATGACCCCCTGTGGACCCTGACTGCCCATTAGGCAGGCAGGAATGGCTGTGACTAGGTTCTTTCTCTAAGGATCCCTTCTTTAGACTCCCAAGGTAGGGCTTCTTTAGACTCCCAAGGGAGGGAAAGGAAAACTCCAACCTCCCGGAAGATCCGCGAGGGAAGAGGCAGGAGCAAGGGGTAGACGCTGCCCAGTACTTCAATAACTTCCCTACTGAGGTCCAGTCTGCAAAGGTTCTTCCTGCAAAGGTTCTGGATTTTTACTGAACTCTGGGTGTTCTCTGAAGCGTTCTACATGGAATTCAACCGGTCTTCACAGATTCCACACTGGACACCACTTGGCCTCTAACCTTTCACTCCTCTCTGAGGAAACAGCTTTGGTGTCACCGTGAAGTGTTGCTAATACTTCACCATCTCCCCAAGTGTCACCACCTACAAACACTCTCAGGTAACTGACTCCTATCAGCCTCTTCTCTTTCCTAGGTTCGCTTGAAAGAACCACTCTAGGGCCAGCAGGGGGCGTGGCGGTTGAGGTGGTGGACTTTCCTATGTGGCCCACAGCTCTTTGACTCCCAGACCTGGCGGCTTACTTTCCCTCCCTCTCTCTGGTGAGCACCTGTGATGAAAATAATGATAATAAATGAAATAAATTCTTTAAAAGAAAAAAAAGAAGAACCACTCTATGCTCCTTCACCTCACTTCCAGGGGAAAGGAGAGCAGGGAGGAAAAGAAAAAAAAAAAAAAGGAAACAACAGTGGCTGGGCTAGAGTCACTCCAGACTCCTCAGTTTCTTCCTAGGGTTCTTTTGCCAGAAGTCCCACTCCAAAGCCCCACTCCGCCATTCTATGGACGCCTTTGTACCTTGCTATTCCTCAGAGCTCTGTGCTCAAGGGAAGGGCAGGCCATCTCTTCCCGTGGACGCACAGGGGGGCCAGCCTACCGAAGTCTCGTGCCACGTGCCACATGTCAGGGTCAAATGGCAGTGCTGGGCTGAGAGAACTGTGCATCTGCCCTCTCCAGCTCAGGGAGCTGAGGACGGGTACAGTTACCCAATGGGGCTTGGAACAGATACGTGTGTCTCAATCAGGGAAGCCGCCATCACTTTGAAATGATGTGGCCACCAAAAGATACCACATACGACAGAGATGAGACAAACGCACACAGTAAGGACGCTGCGTTTTTTCTTTCTTTCAATACAGAAACTAGCAAGTTGTTTTCCTAAATTCTCAAAACCAGTATCTTTCCTCTTATTTCACAGAGGGAAAAAAAAAAAATCCAAAATCCAGATTACAAAGGCGCTGTTTAGCGAAGCTGCCAGTTTTGATGTGCTCTGCTGTGGGAGCATGCTCCGAGACAGACTTGGAAGACAGACCAACTGGACTCAGGGTCACACTCTAGTTGGGACCCAGCCGCAGCACCCAGACTTCATATATCAGACTTGGTTTCAAAGTTCTTTGGGTAATGTCCAAATATCAAAGTCACCCTTGAAAGGACAAGGATTTGTTAGCAGGGAGGATTTTCAAAAGGCTGTGCTGAAAGCAATTCTGCAAGAAGGGCATTGCGGAATGTGAGTCTGACCAAAATCTGCAGCGCTCAAATAAGTATTTAGTCTCCTTAAGGAGCAGCGTGGAAGGGGACACCCATGGTTTGGAAGAGTTAAATTCCAGTCTGTATTTAGAAAAGAAGAAACAGTCTCCTAGTTTTACAGTCACTTTGAATAAGAAGACAGGCAGAAATACAGTAACAGAACTAAATGCACTCAGGGTTTTAGATAAGCTGCCATTCAGACAATACATGACCGTTTCACCCCATTCACTTTGATGAAAAAGTGAAGCTGACTTCTAGTGGCCACCAAAAGATACCACATACGACAGAGATGAGACAAACGCACACAGTAAGGACGCTGCGTTTTTTCTTTCTTTCAATACAGAAACTAGCAAGTTGTTTTCCTAAATTCTCAAAACCAGTATCTTTCCTCTTATTTCACAGAGGGAAAAAAAAAAAAAATCCAAAATCCAGATTACAAAGGCGCTGTTTAGCGAAGCTGCCAGTTTTGATGTGCTCTGCTGTGGGAGCATGCTCCGAGACAGACTTGGAAGACAGACCAACTGGACTCAGGGTCACACTCTAGTTGGGACCCAGCCGCAGCACCCAGACTTCATATATCAGACTTGGTTTCAAAGTTCTTTGGGTAATGTCCAAATATCAAAGTCACCCTTGAAAGGACAAGGATTTGTTAGCAGGGAGGATTTTCAAAAGGCTGTGCTGAAAGCAATTCTGCAAGAAGGGCATTGCGGAATGTGAGTCTGACCAAAATCTGCAGCGCTCAAATAAGTATTTAGTCTCCTTAAGGAGCAGCGTGGAAGGGGACACCCATGGTTTGGAAGAGTTAAATTCCAGTCTGTATTTAGAAAAGAAGAAACAGTCTCCTAGTTTTACAGTCACTTTGAATAAGAAGACAGGCAGAAATACAGTAACAGAACTAAATGCACTCAGGGTTTTAGATAAGCTGCCATTCAGACAATACATGACCGTTTCACCCCATTCACTTTGATGAAAAAGTGAAGCTGACTTCTACCATCAAGAATCAGCGGAACAGACAAATTCCTGGGATAACATTTGTTTGATCTTAATCTACAACATCTGTAAGATCAAGGCCAAAAAAAAGAAAAGAAAAAAAAAAGTACCCAGAACCTTAATAAATGCCTCCCATCTCCCCACCAATCTGAATGCCACCCCTCCCCACCAGTACAAACACATGGAGAAAACAAACCTTGGAAACTCGAAAACATCTCGTGCTGGCACCCTACTGAATACACAGCAAAACAGGGAGAGAAAGACACTTTTTCAACCAGGTTTTATTTAGAACAAAACAAAACTTTAAAAAGCTCGTTTTGAAGTCAAGCAGTTCTTAGTTAAGCACTTTAAATATATGATATTTATTTGTCCCTAATCAAAATTTTAAAAATCCGAAGAATTCCGAAAATGAACCAAGTTAACACTCCGGCTGGAAAAATACATTCCCAAGATAGTTCTTCTGAAAACGTCCCCTAGGGGGCACTAGAGAGGTACGGTTGAGTCTGACTTGGGAATCACAGTCATTTCTGGTAAAAGTTCTTTGATGTGAGGAATGTCCCAGCCTGGTACAGTTGGCAAAAGTTCACTCTGGGGAATTTTGTGTGTGAGTGTGAGTGTGTGTGTGTGCGCGTGCTGGAAAAGGGTGGTTGGGGAAGAAGAGAGTTCGCCTGGTATTGCTTGATTCCAAAAAGGAAATTTTCCCCCTTGATTTATTTTCACAAGTTATCTAAGAAGTAGACACTCCCCCTCCATTTATTTTCACAAGTTATCTAAGAAGTAGACAAATGGCAGCCTTGGAAAAGTTCTGGGTCTTGTTTTTGTTTTGTTTTCTTTTATTAAAAGGGGACCCAGCTGATGAAAACAAGTTATGAAATGACCTATGTTTGTGTAACTGGCTGAATTGCGTAATGCTCGAGGCCTGAAACCGTAAGAGTCCAGCAGCCAGGCAGGGTATATATCTGGGAGGTGTTTTCCTAGGAAGGTAGGAGACGGAAAACAACAACAAGAAAAATCCAGTGGTGGGGGGAAGCGGGGTGGGGGTGGGGAGGTGTGCAACTGTTACTGACAAAATCACCAATGACCCACCTTTGAGATTAAAACTATAACTGGAACAGGAAATATTTTTCATGCTTCAAGTTCCTGCCATATACAAGAACAGAGGCTTTAACAAAGAGTTGTCTGCCCCCTCCACCCCAAGTCACTGGAACCTGGGCCATGTATTATAGACGGAGCTTTATGTAACGGCAGGGGAGAGGAAAGCTCTGAGCTGAGGAGCCAGCAGCAAACTTATCAGGAATACTGAACCCCACAAAGAAACCTGAACCAAAGATACTCGCCCAAGGGAAAAACCAGAGAGAATCGTCTTATACTAATTGGTCCACTGACTGCCAGGGAGGTCTCCCAGCAAATGTGGCTAAGAGAAATAAAGCAGGTTCAGCTTTTATCTGGCATGAAATGAAGTTACCTTGAGCCGGAGAACAGGTGGGGTCGCAGCACAGATGCGTGAAGCAAGGAAAGCCTCCGGAGGTCAGTCCTTAGGACCACAGAACAGTTTTGCTCAAAGTTGCAGTGGTGATGGAAAAACCTGCCTTGCTCTTTCTCTCCCCTCCCCACCGAGGAGTGAGCAGACAGATAAAGTTGTTCAAAACGGCATTACTTTGCCAGCCTCACGGGTTTGAAAGGTGCTTCCCTCATACTGCTAGGCTGAACAGGCAGGCATCTACGCAAGAACCCCGTGCACTGGTTATTGCTAATTGCAAAATCCTCATGTGTTACAGCATGCTAAGAATTAGCCAACAGCTGCTTTTTGCTTCGGTAATGAGGCCCCATTACACTCTGCTGGACTGAGTTCTCTTCCTTCTTCCTAGCATGGTTTCCTGTCTGATTTTCTTCCAAAACAGGGAATTGCCTCGGCTCACATCCTGGGCTCAAAGCCCCAGTGACACAGATTCTTCAGTGGGGGAACTGATGTCCGGTCTGACTTCCCATCCAGGCCCCAGGGCCTGAGCGAAGCCAGACAGCAAGATTTTAATATTTCAATGATCACTGCCACAGACACATTAGTGAAAGAAACCGATAAGGAAGAAAAAAGCAAAACAAACAAACAAACAAACAAACAAACCCACAAAACTCTTCCTGATTTGGAGAGGAGAGCGGTGCTTTGGGGTTGGCTGAATTGGAGAGTGGGAGAATGGGTACGAATGACTCCAAACCCATTGCCTAATGAAGTCTGAATTCAATACAAGCCACTGACCAGGCTGAGAAGCGAACATAACAACAACTTTTCCAGTAAGATTTTAATAATAAGCACCTAGGTGACCTGTTTAAAGGTGCACTGAACCCCCAGTGCACAGCCTAGGTCGACTCTCTGCGGTGAGTGCTCATGGGCGCACCAGGGGAGGTAAAGGGAAGACACAGAAAAGCCATTCTGGAGACTCACCAGATGTGGGGAATCGCCTTGGAATAAGCTGTCCCTTCTTCAGCTCCAGAAGAGAGCCACGTTGCCATTATATTTTCCGGCACAGTCCACCCCTCCCTGGAAGTCCACCCTAGTCCCTGTCAGGCTGGCTTCTGGAGGCCAAGGCCACAGTCTTACAGAGCAACTGGTTCTGCAGCCAGCTTGGCTAGAGATTCCACAGATCCTGACCGAGGTGGGATTCAGGCTGCTGTGGACCTTGCGTGTCAACCCAGCTCTCTCACAAGACCCAGTGGCTGCGGGGAGCTGCTGCAGAGGGCAGGTGCCCCGCCAGTACCTTTCTGGTATTTATAAACACACGGAGAGCACGCACAATCCCTCCAGTGCAAACCTGTCCGGCTGCTTTAGAAACAAGTTGTTTTTCTGCTTCCAGAAGCACCCAGGGACCTGGATGATGTTTCTTTCCCCCACTTCTCTCTGCCGACCTCCTTGCCCCTGTTCTCCTAGATCCACAAGGCGCTCTTCAGGGGCAATACACACTCCAGCCCCCACCCTTACCGGAGACTGCGGGGCACAGAGGCGGCAGCAAGAGCCAATCATCAGGCTGGCCTCTTCCTTCCTGACCTTCGCACCTGATTCCCAGAGCAGCAACCCTCGCCCTTACTCCAGACGGCTTGAAGGAGCCCAACCAAGTTTCTGAGTCCCCAGCCTCTTTCAGACATGGGCTAAGACTGATGGGCAACCTGGCAAGAGAGGGAAAGGGCTTGCCCGTAGCAAGTGGGGTCCTTGGATCCCAAGAGGGGCGAGGAGTGCAAAGATTATCTTGTCCACCAGGGAGAGAAAGGGTTAGGCGGAGGGAGGAGGTGGTATTTGGAAGAAGGTAGGTTAACAGGCTGCTGGGAGGGAGTATGTCGTGTGAAGGAAAGGATTTGTTGGCTCTTCAAGCCCACTCCCCGCTCCTGTTAAAAACGAGGGGGAGTGGGGGGAATAGGGCAAGACGAAAATCCGAAATTGAGAGCATCGACCCGCAATGTTTTCTCGCCAAGCCAAGAAATGGGAAAGAAAGCAAAAGAGAGTGGCGGTCAGAGGAAGGCGGCGGTCTGCCCGCGCCGCCAGGTGCACCGGGGCCCGCACCTACCTGCTGGCCGCCGCCGCCGCCGGAGGAAGGCCCCCCCGCCGCTGGAGTAGGACTCGGCGTGCGCAGGAGAGCCGCTGCTGCCCCGGGACGAGGTGTCAAAGTTCCCGGGATAATCCTGGTACATGATCCGCGGTGGGGGCCGGAGAGGAAACAGGGTATTTTTCTTCCCCGCCCTCGCCGCGGCCGCGCACCGGCTGCTGCGCGCTCACTTGTCCGCCCGCAGAGCAGCGGGCTCTAGTCTTCGCTCCCACGGGCTTCTTCTCCACCGCGGCGGGCGCGGGCAGGGGACCGGCGACACCCCGGGAACAGTGTCCCCCGGAGCGCCTCGCACGGCACTTCTTTCCTGCTCTGCGAGCGCCGCGGGACCAATTGTCCACCCAGTCCCTCCCTCTAAAAAGTCGGCGCGTCCTTCGGTCCCTCCCCTGCGCGCGCCCTCCCGCCCCCGCCTGCAGCCCGAGTCCGGTCCGGACCCACAGCCCAATCAAAAATTTTAAGTTAAAAAAGGACAGGAGCCGGGAGAGCTCCTCTAGCCAGCTCTGGGACCCCCAATTTCAGACTGCGCCAAAAAGGCTAGGAGGAAGGCTGCCCGCTTGGAGAAACTTCTATTTCCTCCTTTTAGCTAAGGAGCCGGAGAATAAACTTCCTGTGGCCGACTCGCCCCGTAGTTTCGGAGCGGCCAGGACACTTGCTAGCAGCAGAAGGCAGCGTGCGCTCGGTCCGCGGCCCCAAAGCACTGGCGGGACAGTGGCCTGTGGGGTTCAGGCTGAGCAGGCGCTGAGAGAGACGCGGCCCCGCTCCCCGCGCCGCCGCGCGGACCCGCACCCCTTCCCCGGCGCCTGCTCCTGGACCGGCCCGCCTCGCGCGCCGCGCCTCTCCCTGTCCCTCTCTCTCCGCCGAGCGCCGCTCGCTTGCTCGCTGGTTCGCTCGGAGGCCCTGCGCTCTGCCCGAGATGAGTCACTACAATGGCACGAGTTCAACTCCACTCTTTATCCTCCAGCCCCTGTACCATGTGGATTCACTCACGTCAACCCCAGACTCCACCTTGCGGGGAGGAGCGCTCGAGGAGGCGGAGGAAGGAGGAGGAGGGGGAAGAGGCGCGGAGGGAGGGGAGGAGGCGGGCGCTGCGCTCCCCTCTCTGTCCCGGCTCCCGGCCGCTCAGACGCCAGCCGCACACCCTGAGTGAGGGGAGAGGGCGGGGGCGCTGGGAGG